TCATGTAAGTGAGTGGGTGACCTTAAGTGGAAAAAAAAAAAGTTCGCTACAAGCAAACTCGTGGAAGACGGCGCTCTGATCAGACAAGACCGCAGTGGGACTGTAGGGTCTACATGCAAAACGTAACTCCGTTACAAGAATCGAACCCACAATTTTTTAAATCTTGCAACGTCGACTGAGCGTATTCAGAGAAAAATGACAAGTCTGAAAAATAACACTAAAGTGCAAAGCACTTCTGCTTACAGTCAGCAGACTGACGAGAAGAGTTGGACTCGAAGTCTCTCGTCGAACATTGTTGTGAGCATACAGACAAACTGAGTGGCACGTTCAGTCATGAGATGCCAAGATGCGCATTTACAAGCAGAATGATGGAATCAGATATTACAAGAAAGTTTGCAGGATACAGTTGTTCTGCTTTGGGCCACCATTGGGAGCACCGTTTCAACTTCATGCCAGCATCCACAGAAATGTGTCACAGACCCAGCAACGGGCCCAGGATGAGATCTTCTGGCATCTCAGGTGACGTTTCCTCATATCCCCCTCTTCCCTCTCTTTCTCTCTCTCTCAGCTGACAGTGGGAATTCATCGCCCGTTGTCAATGTTCTGAAGTTTTCCCAAATATGACTTTCTATTAGTACACGAGTGCTGCCATGGACACGGCTCCACAGCCTGCGAGCCGGGCTGCCGCGGGCGGCACAATGCATTAGCACACGATGAGCTGTCAGAGAGGATTATTTCAGCCACCACAGTCAGCGAAGGGGGTGGGAGCTGCTCTGCTGCACCGAAGCAAGGAGAAAGAGTGGGTGGGAGGCAGATAAAGGAAAGAGGAATCACACAGATAGAGGGAAGAGCGGAACTAGTCAAACAAAAACAAACAAACCAAAAAAAAAAAACCCCAACAACAACAAAAAAAAGTGTCCATTGCATCAGTTGGATTTGTCTTTTCCAGAGCAGCGATGTTGGAGCACTCCTCTGAGCTGGCCCTGGTGCAGAGTCTGTATGCCAACAGCATGCGCTGCCCCCCCTCTGCGGCCGGGATCTCTGTCAGGAATGAGGACCTGTCTATGAGGTACGTTTCTGGGGCTGGCCCCCTCATTCGGTTTTGGATAAGCTTTCGTGGAGCAGCCCCGTATTTGGACTGCCTCTTTGTCTGGACTGGATTTTGTCACAGGATGTATTGTTTCCAGTTGAGCGTTCTCCCATGCTGCGCCTGTAGGCAGGATGGTCTCTGTGTGGCGTGTCCATAAGTGTGTGTGTATTTCTGCATGTGTGTGTGTGTGTGTGTGTGTGTGTGCGCGCGTGTGTCATCTCTCCGACTGGGTTTAGCTTTTAAATCAACTAATTATTGCACGGGAGAAAGAGGAAGATGGGCACGAGTCTGTTTTGCTTTAACTTAGATCTCACCCTCGGAGCATTTGGTTTCAAGTTCTTCAACAGTTTCTGGAAATGTGAATAAAAGAGAAGAGGATGATGGAAACAAACTCAGAGACGAGACGTCAACAAAAGGCACCTGGATGTTCAGAGTTCTGTCGAAAACAGCTAAAAATATCAATTGTCATGCAAATATGGAGAAGCCTTTCTGTGCAAATTTGCAGAAGTGAAGCGACGAGGCAAAACCGTGCTCAATCGGTCTTATCTGGACCGGGGCAGATTTCCTTCACACACACAGCTTGATAAGATGTAGTTCACTCTCTCCATTTTGAGAACACTTCAGCTGCTCCTCAAATCATTCTATGACCAAATATATATATATATATAATAATAATAATAATAAATCCAGAGTTGAGAAATAAAAAGTGTGCTCTTAGGAGCTGATCTCATTTGAAGCTGACCTATTTTTACGCCCTGCAGTTTGAGATGAAGTGGAGCGAATTTCAATTTAAAAGCACGGGGGGGGGGGGGGGGGGGGGGGGGGGGTTGTTGATGATGTTGAGGGTGATGATGTGACTTCTTATTTATTTATCTTTTAAGTCTGCTGCATGAGGAGGATGTGTTTGATGTAAACAACAAAAGCATGGCGGCATGGGGAAGATTAAAATGGGATTACAGTGGAAGTAATCTGAGATTAAGAATCAAGCATTAGGAGGTGCCGGCAACTCAACACCGGCGGCCTGTGACTTCAACTCAAAACGGACATCTGATAGGAAAAGCAAATGCATACCAGAAATAATTTTTAAAAAAATATGTGCATGCTGAATGCATCCTTCACCTCCATGAACTAATTAAACCTAAGGTAATATGTGTTCAGACGGGTTTACATTATTATTGTGTTTAGCCTCCATCTTGATGAAACCTGATTCTCCAGAAAGGTTTCGCACAACCTTTTTATAGCAGCCCCCCTCCAGCTCAATGGCAGCTCCCGCAGGATCGCGGGCTTCTCTGTGCATACCGCAGAGCAGCTTGCATTATCACGTCACGCACACCAGCCTCTTCATAAACACTATTTATTTAATGGAGCGTGCTGAACGCCGGTGCCAGGTCGCCTTGAAATTGCTATGGATACGAGGATTAAGTCAGCTTTCATAAACGGGCTGTTTCTTAACGCTCGCTATGAATAATATGTCAGGACTGCGCAGCTGCCGGGGCCAATAATGAACGGTTCGATAATTAGGCTAAAAACCCCTCCTGTCTCTCGCTGCACTTGACAACGACCCCGCATCGACCCCCCCTCTCCCCGTCGGCCCCCACTCTCTTTCCCGACTCGCCCCCCCCCCGAGCGCGAGGTGGGCCTCGCCCTGCAAATCCGGCTCAACAAAGGAGGATAGGCTCCCCCTCCCCCAGAGAAACAACAGCTCAGCACCGGCACAAAGGGGGATGTGACCTGTGACACTGGCACGGGGGGGGGGGGGGGGGGGACAAGAAAAAACGCATTTCAGCTTTTTCACTTTTTGGCTTTTCTGCAATGTAAACTATGGAACGAGCTGGAACATCAGGGTGACTAACCTAATGATCTTTTAAAATGAATAGTAGAAAAAAAAAAACAGCAGTAAAGATAAATGGAAGAGCGACTGAGGCAAAATGTAAACACTTTCAGTGCTCTGATAAAATCTGCACTCTTACTTCAAACCGCTGATTTAAATTCAGATTCAATGGAGCTCAGAGCTTTCCGCATTTTGCGTTTCTTGCTTTCAAAATCTTGTTCCAACAAGAACAAATATTCAGACGGGACGTTTCGGGTCAGCCCGAGATTCATGGTCCAGTCTCACCCAGGCGTGCGGCGGTAACAGCACTCAGGTGGTTCACACACTCTGGTACAGTAATGCTCTTCCATCTTTGTCTGAACACCTCCATTTTTCAGCTTGCAGTCACTCATTCCATTACGTGAGCATCTTTCACTCTCTGTGTCCACTGACCAATGGGAGGCGGCGGTTTCGCACACTTCCAAGCCTTTTTCATCATTGTTTTTTTTTTTAATCAGTGAGAATATTTGAAAACTGTGAATGTAGGTTGTATTCCAAGGTGCCCAGCAAAAGCATCGATCAAATCCTTTTACTTCCTGTCATGCAAGCACAAGCTTCCAGAGGAATGAAACGACTCGATGCTTTGTGGAACCACCTTCATCCGCAACGACAGCAGAAACGCACAATCTGGAGATGGAAATTTCTTCTTTGCGAAACAGGCCAAGCTTGGTCAGATTGCGTAGGAAGCTCCTGTGAGTGGGAGTTTTCAAGTCTTGCAAGAATTCTCAACTGGAATCAGGTCTGGGCTTTGACTGGGCCGTTCCAACTCACAAATCTGCTTTGGTCCGGGCGATTTAGTTTTCGCAGATTTTCTGTCTTGCCTCCCTAATTTTACCTGCATCTATCTCCCCGTCGACTCTAACCGGCGTCCGTCGCCCCGCCGGAGGAAACCCGACCCACATGTTGTTGCCGAGATGATTTGAGATGCAGATGATGTGTTCGCAAGGATGCACGGTGTTTCTTTCACATATGGCGCTTTCTATGACAGCTTAGTTTTGGTCTTGTGTGACCAGAGACCCGACCTCTTTCACATGTTTGCTGTGCTCTGTGGATGATGGTTGGCTTTCTTCTTGCAACTCTGCCACATAAAGGCAAGATTTGTGGTGTGCACCACTAATAGTCGTCCTGTCGACAGACTTTCCCATCTGATCTGTAAATCTTTGCAGTTACCATGCCTTCTTTGGTTAATTCACGACGTAATGCTTACCCATTTAGGTCTCTTTCGGTTTTTGGATGCTGTATTGAACAGTTCTCTGTAAGATATTTAATGACTGGGTTGTGGTTTTTACAACCAACTCCGTTTTAAACTTCTACCCAACTTTACTCCTGACTTGCCTGCCTGCTGTGTTCTTTGGTCTTCACGATAATGTTTGCTCTGCGACCGCAATGATTTATGTTTTTAACAAACCGTCCGGGCCTTTTCAGAGCACTTCCTGTCCTGTACTTGAAGGTGACTTCACACTGGATTTTATCTTGGGGTGACTGTGTAAATGGGGCTGAGTACAAATAAATGCCACATTTTGCTGTCCTTTCTTCACATTTGTGCTGGACTCAGTGTCCATAAGAGAAATCAAAACCTACAAGAGGGTTGACAAGAGGTGGAAATGTCCAAGGGGTATTCAAACTGCGAAACGCTATTCGAGGAAAGAAGCAAATATATATATATATATATATATATATATATATATATATATATATATATATATATATATATATATATATATATATATATATATATATATATATATATATATATATATATATAATAATATTTTTCCTCCACGTCTGCTATTTCTTTTCAAACTGCTGTTATCGCTCCAAAACTCCCTCCTCAAAAATAGCTTTGCCCCTTATCAGCGACTGTAATATCCGCAGGAATATGAATCAAGCAGAACCATTTCTAAATAGGACCGCAGAGAGAGAGAACCTTCCAACATAGAAGCACAGCAACCATTCTGCTGCCAGTAATAGATAATAAAGTCTCCACGGAGCACCAAGTGGGGCACAGATTAATTTTATATGGGGGTCAGAGATGCTTGCTGCTGCTGCTGCTGGCGGCGTGGTTTCAGACTTCTCTGGCTCTGGCCACGCCTCTGCTGTGCTGCAGTTCGGTGAGCAGAGACAGAAAGCGGCTCGCCTTGCCTGAGCTTATTCCATTCGGAAGACCAGGGAGAACCAAGGCGGACGCTGGTTGCCCCCCTCCTCTCTCTCTCTCGCTCGCTCGCTCCCATGCAGCTTTGAAGAAGAAGACGCCCCCTCCCTGCACCTGCTCCGCTTCGTCTTCTCGTCTCGCAGGAGTTCAGCCTCTCGCTCTGTGCGGGCGTCGCTTCTCTCATTGTTCGACGCTGTTTCTGAGCATGACTTCGACGTACAACCTAGATTTCCTGCCCCTCTCCGAAAGTCGGTTAATGACTTCGAGCGACACAATGTAAGTAGCTCGGGAATCAATTTCTGTCGTGTTGCCGTTTCACTTCTTCAGGCTCGAAAAGCCCCGTGAGTGTTTTTTTTTTTGAGGGGGAGGGAAAAAAAACAACACAGTTAAGGCTAGCGCTAGCTTCCTGGTATGCTAACATTGCTAACAGCGGTGACGGGATCCGCTCACCTGGAGTTCAACTCCGTCGTTTAAAGTTTGAAGACTGCCAACAAGGGGAGCTGCCGTGTTTCAGTTTGGACAATTAACTCGTCTCTAAGAGCGAGGCCTGGCGCTGTTCGGGAGTTAAAACCGTGAGGGTTTTTGTGTTTTTTTTTTGTGTCGAGGAATAAACGCGGTTAGCTGCGCGGGGCGCAGCACAGTCGACTGACATGTGCTTCCGGAGATCACACGTTTCAGTATCGGTCCAGAAAAACAACCCTGTGGCAGCTTGTCCAAACACCGAGCTCTTATCTGTTTGTGCTTCTGTAACTGAACAAACGCAGCACCTCCTTCGTGTTCGGAGCCCTGACGTTGCACGAGCGAACAGGTTCTGAGAGCCCAGGCGACACGGAAGGTGTTTAATGTCGCTTTAAGGCTGAGCTCCCTCGACCACTTCAGCTCGTTGTTTGCCGAATATTGACAGGCTCCGTCGGCATTTGTTTCCCCAGCAGTTACACAAGCGGAGGCTTGTCCGAGGCCCCCTTTTAGTGTCGATAACAGACGTCGTTGTCAACGTCCATGTTGAAACGCGACTGCTTAACGGCAGAAAACACGCGGTTTGCGACATTATTGAGCCGTTAATGGAGGTCTTGTGACAGAGTATGTAAACAAGACAGAGGGCTGGGGGTGCTCACCAGCGCTGCTCTCATCGCATTACCTTGTTTTATGTGGGAAACAAGATGGAAGTTGAGCAATGTAGTGCAGAAAAAAAAATGTAGCAGGTCAATGACACGTCAAACTTGGATGTTGTCTTTTTTTTCTCAATTTTAATCTCTGAATTTTCCCCTCCTCATATGCCTTGGGGGAAAAAAGCAAAGACAGATCATCTAGTTTTAGTTTTTTTTTTTCTCCATTTCAATTATTTATTGGTGTGATTTATCTCTCTCTTTCTACCAAAAACTAGACGATAAAAGTCTCTAGTTTGGTGCTTTAGTCTTGACTATTTTTTACTTAGAAGGACAGTTTTGTTCACAAAAACCTAAATTCATTTTATTTGTAACTGTCCATAAAGACTTGAATTCATTTTATTTTTTAGTTTTTGTTTATTTATTTTGGATATTTAAAATGTCTTCCAGCTCCAGTGTCAAATGTTCATGAGAACTTGAAGGTTATTGGCCTTTTAGAATGTTGCTCTTGCATTATTATTTTATCATTATATTCCTTGAAAATGGTCTCAAAACAACAATATTATTGTGCATCGCGATAACGTCTGGAACAATTTATTGTCCAGCACAATTTGTTATCGCGGCAGGCCTAAATGCTAGCACTGAATCAGGGGTGATGAAGCAAAGGCACATCTAAAACATGTAGGACAGTGGACCCTGAGGACTGGGGTGAAAAACACTTCCAGAGAACTGAACCAAGTGACCCGGGTTTATGTAGTTCTTTTAGTCGGCTCGGTGAGAGGAGACCACGGCGTTCTTCTCTTGTGTGCAACACGGCCGTTTACAAATATTTCTCGTTTTAAGAAGCAATCATAAATGTGGAAATTGGAGCAGTAACCTTCGCTCGCGTTGAAGCAATGGTTTTACAATAGCTCTGAGCTATAAATGGCACCTCTGTTGCAGGAAGAAAAAAAGGATAATCTGTGCAATAAGCACAATATTTGCAAACCTTGTACATTTTGTGCTTAAGCTTAAATCTATGTATAGAAATTAAATGGGAGATTAATAATTATCCACTGGATTATGACTGTAATAAGTGTGCAGGAGTAGAAATAATTGTTTCCTTTCTGTTTTACTAAACTCTGGTTTTACAGAACATTATGAGAATGTCATACTAACCAATGCCGAGTGGTATTAATTGTTCATTTTCGGTTTCATTATAATGTAAGATGCTTTTTTTTTTTTCCCTGCCAAGAGGAGGTGTAAAACTGGAGCGGCTGTTTTTAATGTAAGAATCACTGAAGGCGGCAACTTTTGGCTGAACTTGCATAACCTTGTAACATTTTGTTTTATCTGGAGCACTGAATTAAAATTTTAAATAGGCACGGATTGGGATGAGATCATTGCTGTATAATGATGGGTAATAGTACCATGGTGTAAAGGGTAATGGCATCTACAACAATTTTAAAAATGTTTCTAATTATGAAGATTTTAATGCATAAAAATGCAAGTGGAAATATTCAAGACAATTTTGTGTTTGCTCTAGACAAGGAGTAAGCGTAGTATCATTTTTATTGTATTTTTTTTTAATTTTATGCTGCTGACTGGAAGTGCACAGCAACAAGTGGCAGAGGGAAAAAACTATGGTTATTGACTTTGCGAAGGCGCTGGTGGGCTGACATGGCTGATAACACGGGACATGGGGGACTGAAGCTGACGATCAGAGCAGAAACGTAGGAAGCCGAAGCAACTAACCCTGCTGCTGTGGTTGATCTGCAACAGAAATATTATGAAAAAGGACCAGAAAGAGACAAACAGCACAGAGCTACTGGTGAATACATTTTCATGAACAAGATTCTTTCGTACAATGTAGAAATGTTTTGGATGCACCGGAGCCAGTGTTTTTGCAACACTGTTTCAGTCTAGAATGATTCTGTTCCTCTGTATTATCATTATTTTTGTATTAAAAAGACATTGACGGGGAAAAGGAAGCGATTATAGCAAAATAAATAATTGCATAACTTCAGTTAAAAATATATTAGTAGACAACGTGGTAGTATATTTGATGATTGTTGTTTTTGTTTTGCAGGTTTGTACATTTAATCCTGAAAATGTTCATATCCCTGGAATTTAGTGCTGCTAGTTATTCAAACTACTACAAATGACTTCATGCGTCCTTCTTCAGCTGAATATTGTTCATATTACTTTACTAAACGTACACTAGTTGATGCTGGAGGCTGCGTCAATCACCCTGGTCAGCTGTGACTCGTCAGTTTGTTCTTAGTCGACCAAGAACGGAGTAAACTTTCTGGATTTTGTTTCACGGCGTCTTCTATGAAATGGCTTCAAATATAATGCCTTCCTGGGCTTTTTCAGGTCTAGTAGTGCCTTGAAAATGATCTGGTCAGGCTCACAGTCAGCTGCTCTGCTCTGAGGGATTCTTCTCTACAAACCCACAGCGTTAACACCTTTCTTCTGCAATTACAGGACTCTCACAGATGACTCGTGGGAAAATCTATGTTATCCCTTTAAGAGTGTAGCTTTTTTCCTACAAAGACATCTTGGAAGTAAGCATATAATGGCCATCATTGTGTTTTACGAGGTAAATCATCCAACTGGTTGTCCAGACATTCTGTTTTTTAGTGTTTAAAGCTAGTGAAAGTACGAGTTCCTTTTAGTACAAATGTTGTTCCACTACATAATGTTTTGTTCACGCTTTCATTCCAGAGTGTCTTATTGACAGGACTTGTGGTGGCGATTACATGTTGATGAAGTTGCATTTGATTGATTTATCTGCCTGGTTGTTGACAGTATGGGTGGATATCAGGGCTTAGATGTGATCCCTTGGCAGCCAGCAGTCATAATGCTATGCCAGTGAGCTAAGTGACACTGTAATCCTTTTTCTTGTGGTTGGCGAACTGTTGATCAGTTTGCAGCGGGAGATCTTTGGCACGGCAACAGGGAGCCGCTCGGGCTAGCTGATCTTTTTCTTCTCCGTTTTGGGATGCTTAAGGACAGCTGTTATCAAAGCGGACACGGAGAGCCAGGAAATAAGTAGTGCTCAGATCTGGTTCGTCACCTGTTTTTTCTGCTTCTGATTGTTTTTTTGAAGTTGTAATTACAAGACTGGAGCCACATGAACAGCTTTGAAATGCTCATACTCATGTCTGCCGTGTCCAGCAGGGGGTTGTTTTAATCAAAGGTTGACCAAATTCTTCCGCAAGCAAAAAATATGGAGGAAAATGCTTAATATTTTTACTGTTGCATACACGTCTGGATCAGAGATTTTTTTTCATCTGAAGTTTGTGTGTAAAGCAAAGCGTTGCAACTTATTCAAAGTTTTAAAAAGGTTTCTGTGGCTGCGATCGAGAGGTGAGTATCTGTTGCTCGCATCAAGTTTTTAATTTGTATAAAAAAAAAAAAAAGTAGTGCAAAGGAAAAGATTGCAACCTAACGTTTGAGAAATAAAGCTGTGCAATTGCATCATGTGCCTGAGCCAGCAAACCAAATTTAGGCCATTCTTGAAACGTGATGGATGGCCTCTCCTCAGCTTAGTTTTAGGGGCCGCAAATGGCCCAGTGGACACCCCAGATCTAAAAGCATTGAATCGCCTATTTCTTTTCAGTCTCTTCTGACATTGAGGCATATCTGCTCACAAGAAGAATTGTTTTTTTAAAGGATGTGCTCAATTTGTAGTCTAGATTTTCAAAATGAAGCAGCTCTTTACTACTCTTCAGAAATGAGTACAGAAAAAAAAGACATTTTGAAATGGAAATCATTGGGTTAGTGTATTTTAAATCGTTAAAGTTTTCCAACTTACAAATATCTGTTAAAAGGCAGCTCTACTTTTAGGAGAAACTGGAGAATAAAGTAGGTTTGGCTAAAACTGTCTTCAAATCAAATGTAGTTGCTTTTGTCTCCCTAGAGTTGCATTGCTGAAGTTCCAGCTGAAGACTTAAATAAATTTCTTGTTGTTCGTCTGCTTGGCTATTGGCTAACAAAAGCTTTTTATTGGCCGACGTCATCGATAACCGCCAGGGACACTTAGTGCGATTATGTAGCTAATGGGCCTGGCCTTGTCATCAGATGCTGGCCGTCTGTTAACACGCAGTCTGTTCAGAGGCTGATTGAACACGTCTGTCTTCATCAGGGGAAATGCAACAATGGAATTGGGCCATTTCGAGCTGAATTGGAGTTGATGCTAGAAGGAAAACGTCTTAATTTCTCATCGGAACCACAAAGTGCTGATTAGCTCAAGCACTTGGTATGGAAATCAAATGGCATTATCCCTCCTTTTGCTTTAGCGCCTGAAGCGACATCCATTCTTGGTGGTTTGTTTTGCAAAACATATGTCAGAGCAATTCTGCATCAAAGGATTTTCAAGTGCTTTGTAAATCCTGCCCCTTCCTATTGAGAAGTTGCAGCTCTAAGTCTGTGGGAGTGATTATTTTTAATCACTCCATGATTATAAAACAAAATGTTGTCAAAGATCCTTAAACAATCTTCTTGTGTGACACAGAAAATTTGAACTGCTTTCAAATAAAACCTGTTTTTGTGCTATTGACTTAACTGATTTGGACAATATTCTCTTAGAAAACTGTTTTTTTAAGATGTTGAGCAATTGGATTTTCAAAAATGTTTCCCGTCATGCTTGACTAGTAAATCCACCACAGGCAAATAGGCTCTCAGCTTCAGTTTTTCTAACATGCACTAAACAACAACAGCAAATGTCTGATCAATAATAATTAAAGCAGCACTATCAAATACTGTCACATTTATAGATTGCAGTAATACCAGGTTAATAGTCTTGGAGTCTGAGATTTGAGTCTTTTTAAGTCTTGGTAAGTCAGTGAAAAAAAATGTCTGTATTTAAAAAAAAAAGTTTCAAAACTTGATTCCCTTTTTCTAGAAGATCTCATTATTTCCAGAGATGTATTAAAACTCAGTAAAAATAAATAAAACGTTAATCTACCCTTCCAATAATTTTTTTTTTATCCTTTTCTTGTTTAAGTCCTGCACAAATATAACAATGGAATCAAAGATCGCAACCATAAATTTTATTCGCGTTGGACAATCAACTAGTAGAAACAGATGATTGAAGGTTTAGGTGCAAAGAAGGTTTTAACCTTCTGACAATTTTGAATGAAACTGTTATTTTATGGTTTGTGTGACAGAAAACCCTGTTACTAAACATAAAATTGTCAAAAACCAAGACGTTTTTTTAGAAATGAAAATTTTCCCTGTTGCTGTCCACTAATATTGCAACTTTTCTAAACTAGAACAGGAAGCCGAGAGATTGCTTTCCATCATTGTCTGTGGAAACACCCACGGTATTGTGACATGGTTTAGCCATGAGTAATGTCCAAACACATGTGCTGAGCTTTTAAAATAATGTGCAGAATCAGGCAAAACGGCTCTTTGTGTGATGGGCACAGTAGAGGTGTCCATGGCATCAAAGCTCACCCCCCCAAAACACACACACCCACACACAAACACACACACGGTCCAGATAAATCACCTGCAACAGTAGACATCCGTCGGTCCGGACTCCGGCTTTGGGTGACGGGTCAGCTGCCGTAGGCCGTCTCCGAGCTTGTCGAACTGTCGCTTGACAAGATTGTTGATGGACGAGCCGCACAAAGTCTCCATCGCTCCGTGACAGTTAAAGTTGAGATGTCTATATTAAGTAAACCATCTCGCCTTGACAGCAGAGTATTTCAGATTTTTTTCTACCTTCCAGAGTATTGCATGAACGATGGGTAAACTTTTATTAAGAAATCATTTTTGTAGTAATAATCAGCTCTACTTTCAATGATGAATATTGATTGCAGTTCAGGCTGCTGCAGCCTGAACTGCAAATAAGCAATCAGATGGTGAGTAATCTAAAGATTATTGAACGACATTCTTTGCCTGGAGCTGATTTATTGGTGAGTGAATAACTTAGTTGCGTGGCAACGCAATTTCTTAATGACTACCAAAATCTCTTAACACGCTTTTGAAACAATTTCTATTACTTAAAACAACAAGCGATACATTCTGGCTGTACAACACATGACTGCGCTTTATTGATGTAATTAACTTTTTCCCTGTCCAATCAGTTCTTGCACACATACTGGTGATGATAAATTTGCAATATAGTCAGACTTGCAGTTTGTAGATGTTTACCTAAAACCTACAGTTGACTATTTTACAGACAGGGTGACTCGGTGTCACTGTAAAAAAGCGGTTATCACATCACTGGTTGAAAACAATCTCTTCTGGATTTCATGTCCGGTTCATTTTCTATGTTCTGCTGCAGAAAATGGCTTGCAGTGCTGACAAGTAGGGAAGAGGCAGCACCAATCTGAGTCATGAGTTTGAAGAGCAGGACTGACGCAACACTGAATTTCGGTGGTTTGGAAACGTTACCTTCAAGGCGGTGTTGTATCATAAACCTGCAGCTAACCGCTACGCAACAGAAAGTAGATTCTTCACACATAATTGTGTCATAACATTTGTGTGTGAAGTCTCTGGTTTCATTTTAGACATTTTTTGTGTTCCCTTTAAGCTTGAAAGCTTTAAATTACCGTACTATCTTGGTCAACTTGCTCTTAATACAACATTGATGTATTTTTATAAAACAACTTAAAAAAAAATCTATATGTGTGTGTACCATTGTCGCTCCATTTCCTAGTGAAGCACTTCAGGTCATGGATTTTCTTCTATGGCTATTAGTTTTACCTGAAGTGATTATTATTATTTTCCTTTAATCTCTATTTTTCCCCTTTTTTTTTCTTTATTCCTCTGTTGGGAGGATTTACAACTGATATAAATCACTTGGCTCAAAATGGCTTGAACATGTCATAAAAAACTGTTTCGCAACACAAGGGTTGTCATTTTAACGGTTAGTCTGGTCATTATGATCATCTGTGTGGTAAAGCAGTAGTTGAATACTTCAAATCCTCAGTTTCAATGTGGTAAATTTGCTATCAGTAGCGTAATGAGATTAAAGCTTTAAACATGTTTTATAGACATCAAGTGAAGTTTCAGGACATTACTGGGCATTAAAGCCACTCTGTAACAGAGGCAGTATAAATGCTTTAATACAGATGCAGTTTGAGATGTTTGCTCTCTGTACACGTAGGGTTTGATCAAAAGCCCCTCAGTAAAATGGTGTGAAAGACCTTTTTGCAACGCTGAATAGTGTTACACACCAGGGCTGCGGCCTGCACAGACGAAACCCTCGACGTGTTGCAAAGCATCCCTCTGACTCGGCCCATTGTGCTGCAGAGGAACGGTGAATAGTGTTCTCCAGCATGGGGTAACAATCACATATTGTTCGCCTGCTGTGGCTAAGAAGCTGTAGGTTACTCTGTACCATCGCCAGAGCGCCTGAAGAGAAGATGCACTGCAAAATCTCTGCCTGCTAACCAGCGATTTGTTGAGGTTCAGACCTCTGCAGTGCTGTTTTCTTGTAGCTGTTACAAGCTGCTGGAAGGAGGGGGCCGCTCACCCCTTTCTTCTTTTTTGGAGGAGAGTGGCATTTGTTTCACCACAGCTTTGCTCTGTCATGATTTGAAAATATCGACGGGCTCCAGGAGAAAACGAAGAAGTCTTCCGAGGCAGGGAGTGGGATTCGTAGACGGACAGGAACCAATCCACGATTTGTGAATTTCTTAGCATGTCGTTGAGGTCCCTCAAGGAGTTTGGCGTTTCAGCAGAGCGGCTGGGCTCGATTTATAAAAGATGGATGGCTCGTGTCCAGAGGTCTGTGTGTACCTGTGTTCTGGTTAAACATTTTTTTTAACCCTGTAGTTGTTGATGTTGGGAGTTTCGTGTCCTGATTACCATTGTTTCTGAATGAACTCTTATATTTCGTTTTTCACCAAGGAGTTTGTACCCAATACCCATAATACTTGATATTTGACATAATTTAACATTTTTGTTCATTTTTTTTTTTTTGGTGGTTTGTCCCAGTCAGATTATTTTGGCTAATGCGTATAACAATGCTGCTACAAGTTGTATGATGGCGGTCGTCTTGAATCCAGTAGAAAATGGAGAAATTACAGCAGTCCCCATCACTGTTCCTCTTTTAAATGAGTTCTTAAATGATTAATGCATGTGTTGTGCAAAAATGGTGGCATTTCATGGTCTTGACACTTTCATGAATAAGGAGAAAATATTTTCCATCATGATAAAATGTCATGGTTATTGTGCAAGTTAACTGCTTCTTGCAGCAGCGAAACAAAGCAAGCTCCCTCACAAAATATGAAGATGTTGCTTCTATTTAAATCCAAATGTGATTGAGTTATGAAACTTTTTTTCTAATTCTTTTTATTCTGAACTACCTCTAAACCTAGAAATGTTTCAGATTTGTTTTTGGTGTGGTGAGCCTGTTTGTTGAAAGTGGCCGTTTTGTGCATCATCACTGGGACCATTACCATTGAAAATGATAAACTAAAGTAACACTTTGAAGCAGATAATAGTCCTTGGGCTTCCTGAGAGGCAGGAAACTTTAAGCTGGGAGGAAATGGATGCTCTTGTGCAAACTCAAGATGAAGTTGTTGTCTGTGGCAGCCCTTCCATGAAGTCATTGGAAATGCGTCATGTTTCAGTTTCTTCGTAGTATTTGCGATCCGAAGCTGGAGAGCAAAACATTTTGTGGCAACTGAGAATAGCAACTGAAACTTTGTGAGTTTTGCATAGAGCCCAGTCTAACGTTGACACTTGTTTTGTCACTCCTAGCAACGGCAACGGGAGCAAGATGAACGGGTCACTGGAGCACATGGACCAGCCCGACCCCGACGCAATCAAAATGTTTGTGGGACAGATTCCCCGGTCCTGGACGGAAACAGAACTAAAAGAACTTTTTGAGCCGTTTGGACCCGTGTACCAGATCAACATCCTCCGTGACCGGACTCAGAATCCTCCTCAGAGTAAAGGTATGACCACACGTGTGTTTATTTTGGGTTGCATCGTTAGCCAGTCACAGTAAGACAGTACATTAAAATCTCGATAAATTAACTTGTGGTATTAGGGCTTGTTTTCTGTATTCAGCCAACTGACAGAGGCCAATACCTAGAGCATGCAGGGATGATCTTTAGGTTTTAAGCACCAAAGGAGGTTGCATTAAATAAATGTGGTCTTCTAATACCGTCCTTTTGTCAGTGTCTGTCTTCCTGCAAACGGTTGACCTTTGATCAACCGATTACAACTAGTGGTGTCTGCCTGGAGTCATTTGTTCAGCTTCATTTGAGGTTTTCGTTCTGCGTCTTACTTAGCCATGACCTGCTTTTAGACTTAAGTCTAAAAGCTAAAGTCTAGAATCATTTTTTATTTTTCCTATACAACTTTTAATTATCCAGCTTCAATAATTATCGTCCGGTCACTTTGAGCTATAAAATAACACCAAATGTTGCAGGGTTAGCTGCAGAGGAACTCAATCGTTTCTGCTGCCGATTGGCGGTCGGATGTTTCCAAACTTCTCAAAACCTCCAAACCTAATTTGCTTACACGCATAATTTTTTACAAGTACACAAACCTGAATAACCAATGCAAATTGTTTCCAAGGAACTTTCTTTTTCTCAATTTAAATACATTTAAATACATTTATTTGCATTTTGTTTAAGTACTAATAAACATTGTCCATATTTACCATAGCCATGCTTTTTTTCCTAGAAGTTTTTTTGTGATTGCATTACAGTGACTTAATGGTTAGTGCACTTTACTTTCAACCTTGGAGGAAAAAATAACAAGGCCTTTAGCTGAAACCTGGTCACATAGACAGTGGTGGTCATTGTATAAGTTTAACAACCCTTTTTGGACAGTCATAATTGTCCCTTTGATTTTGACTTTATATTAAAGGACTTTATATTATTTACAATAAACAGAAACACCAGTGGTCACCTGAATTTGTTTTACCTTGTTTGGTCGGCTAGTCGCTGTGGATGAAAGAAAAAATTAATCATTTAGTGTAAAGTGTGGGAAGCTTGAGATTCAAGATCTAACATTTCCGATTATGAATTATGATCTTCTGCAATTTTCTTCTCCTTCGACGACGACAGGTTTTTTTTCTTATATATATTGCATATCTTCCGTGTCTCTGTGATTCATTTGCATGATGCAAATTTTTTACACCTTTCCAAATTTACTGGTGGTGCCAGTGAAACCCCACGGAGCTCGTTTTTCTCCTTGAACGTGAAAACATAGAGTCTTCAGTGCTGTTCATCAGAAGAGTTCAAAGACCTCCTTTTAAGATTGGCCCCTCCCTTACTCTGTCAGCTGTGATAGTCTATTGACATGGTAATGACATGTAAATTTATTCTGATAGATAATCTGGCCTGATTGTAGCTGCCTTTGGCTCACCTAAACTGTGAGATAAATTTCCTCCAGTGACAAAACTGCACACAAACACTCCTTGTACTCTTGTGTAAAGCCATAACAATTTGAACCAAATAATAATGGCTGAATGTCATCTGCCATTATGCATGAAAAGCTATAAGCTCAACCACTCGTTTTTTTTTTACCTTGTCATATTTTCTCCTAATTGATTATTTTTCACTAAATTACTGCCCCTGAGACATTTTTATATCTTGTCATATTACAACTACAAATTTTAGTGAATTTTATTCAAACCAGAGACCATCTGATAGGGTTTAAACCCCTGGTTTAGATCAAATTATTTTAGATTAGCCTTGTCAATGCCCCATTCTGCATCCAGTTGAGGAATCTGTCAATTTGTCTCTACAAAAAACCCATCAGATTCATTACTTATCATTGGTCTATCACTTAAAATCCCAGTAAAAAACCACAGTTTGCATCGTGACAAAATACGAACAGATTCTGCAGATGAACTACTTAAGCAACCAGCGTAGATTCTGTTTGTTTACTGATCTATCGAGGGCCTTCAAGTTGCCGATGGGTTTTAGGTCACATTGTGCACAGGTCATGAAAAATCATCTGACTCTCATGCCTTTCTGGGAGGTTTATTTAGCTCCGACAAATTGGAGTCCAGGCTAAGCAGAAGAGAAAGGGAGCTCTCAGCTGGTTGTGAAAGAGTGCAGCTTGATGCATATTAGAGTTCAACAGCCCTCCCCACAGCCAGGGAGCTCCAGTAACAGAATAATACACACTATGTAGGTCAGAGACGCTGCAGTGCTCCACTTCCCCAACCCAGTGAAACTGACAGGCTGGAACGCCACTGGCGGTCTACTGGGACGGAAGGATGAGAGGCTTTTTTTTCCTTCTTATTTCTCACCCCGCTCTTCATTTTTTTTTTATGCCCCTCCCCCATCATCTATCTTCTTGCTCATTTTCTTTTTGGGTTCTTTGTGCTCTTTTCATGCCTCGTGCACACTTCTTGGATTCGATTCTTGCAGAACGCTGAAATACTCGGACAAACATGTTGGTTGTTCTGCTCCATCTTGCCGGCGCTACATGTCAGTCCTATCTAACTTGTTTTGCCCGGTGTCACTGTTGTTACCGACAACTTTGCATCACATTATAAGCCTGGAGGCCGAATCACAGATGGTGATTTCCTGTTAAGCCAGTTCATAGATATATTTTAACCAACAACACTGACGGTATTAATTTTGATTTGTGAGCTCTCTATCTCAATGATGTTGATTATTTCCTCAAAAACTGGCTGAATCCAATCCTGTATTTGTTTATCCTCTGGTGGAGAATCTAGGTACTGCAGATGACTCGTGTCCAAGATGGCTGCATCTAGACCAAATGACGGACAGTTATTATTTAGAAGTTTCAGCATGAATAAATGAGGGGAAATTGCAATTCCTTTAATAGGAATTTAATATTATTAATATTTAATATTATTACTATTAAATTGAATGACAATTTAAACAGAAGTCATTCAATGTTTTATATAAAATCAGATGAAAATATATTGTTATGAAGCTTATGGCCACTTTTGCAGCCATATTTATTGGCTTAGTGCAGAAGTTCAGGTGAATAATTGATTTAATTTATATTTTAGATACCAACATTAAACTGGCTATGAATGTATATCTTTTTTAGACCTGAGGTAATTTGACAAAATCTTACTAGATGATTGAAAAGTTTGTGAACTCTGAGATTTCCCATATCCAGCTATTCAACGACCAATATTCAAAAATGTAAAACTAATCTTCCTGTTGTCTGCTAAACATTTTATTCTCACAGCCTTAATGAATCACGGACATGTCATGTAAACCGTAGTTTCTTTTCAAACATAAAAATGTTTCCTTTTTTCTTTTTTTTTTTTTTTACATCTCACTGACTGAATATGGCTAACTCTGGTGATCTTACTGTAGCCTGGTTATGTTTGGGTGTGGTACTTTGACTTTTATAAGGAGACTGGATTTTTTTAGTTCCAGCTATCCCACTCCAGGTTGGGGCTGATTCAGCCAAATGTTTGCAGATTTCTGTCACCATCCTTTTCTGTGTGCATTATATTTTACAGCATGCTTTGTCTCATTTAATATATTGTTTTGTGGTTTGTTTTTTCCCCCCTGCATTTTAACGTTGTTTCTGTCTTCTCCATTCTCATTGTTTGCCCCTCTTGTTTTTTTCCACTCTGCAGGATGCTGTTTTGTAACTTTTTATACAAGAAAAGCTGCACTGGAGGCCCAGAATGCACTGCACAACATAAAGACCTTAAGTGGGGTGAGTAAGCACAGCATGGGATGCTTTTAGCTGCCTGAGCCCCCACCCCACACCCATGTCCCTGGTGCAGGCTGGGAGCTGGCCAGTAATGAGCTCTCGGTTCACTGAAAGCCTGCCTGGCCCTGGAAAAATATCAAGCCCCTCTATCAGTAACATTGAAACGAGGGCTGTCCTGAACTTCAATACACTTGAACCGATGAGTTAATCGGAGACGCTGTTGATTCTTCAGCCAGACGTATTGTTTGATTTCCATGAAATAAAGTTCATGGTGTCTAGGCATCCTTAAGAAGTCCTAAATTCAATCAAATAATGTAAGTTGACCTTAAACACATTGATCACAGGCTTTAATTTTGTTGTGGCAGGACTATTCAACCTTATATGTGTATTTGTTTTTTTTCTTGTAGGATTTTTTGTCAGGTGAACATTTTTAGTTGTGCGCTGACATCTTCATTGCGTTCTGTGTTTTGAAGTTGGCCACTGCTAACTAGCAGCTATTATACCTTTGCTCAGTAACTAGCTAGTTCTTTGTGTCCGTCAGTGAGTGATAGGCTTGACACACGGGGACAAGTAAAAGTCGTTGCCACTCGGGATGCAAAAGCGTCAATATTGACAGTTCAAAAAATTTTCAAACTTGCATGTGCACGTCTATGAGTACAGGCTCAAAATTTCACAAGAAATTAATGGAGAGGGACTGATGTCGTATCTTGTGTGTCGAGCCTTTTTTAGGTGCAAATGTATTTTTATTTTCGCCACTGGCTCACTTTTGTTGCTACACACACACACACACACATATATATATATATATATAGTTTTCTATTAAATTTCATTCATGGTGCCATTGAAAATGTCTTCATGAAAGTCTTAAATTTGACTTGCAGAAACCTGCAGATACCCTGAAGTTATTAAAGGCATGACTTTATGAATCATTGATGTCTGTGTACATTTTTAACTCCGAGTTGAAGCCTTAAAAGTATATAGCAGCTAGGCTGAGTGGTGCCATATTTCATCCGATTTGTCTGGCGAGATCGCAGCGCGCTCAACTGCAGTAAGGGCTTGTTAAAGCTACAAATCTGTCACGCCTCCTGGTCGCTCTAAACGACGCCTTCCAGTCAATTAAATCCATACCAGACAATCCAGACAAGTCCAGGTGTCGATTAAAACCGTAGCTCAGCCTGTTTGAGGGGAGCCACTTTTCAGTGAGCTTATAGCCGCGTATTGAACCGGGGTGATGAATGAGCGTCGAGGCCCAGTGTATAGCGGTGGCTCTCTTCCCTGGAAGACCATCCATCAGCACGACATTTCAAATGGTGCGCTTCAAATGCCAATCCCTGGTCCTACTGTTACTGGCATTTCTGCAGGTGTGACTGAGTTAGCTTTGTGTCACGCTGGAAAGGCTCGTATCAGTTTCTCTGTTATCTCTCCCCTCCGCTGCTGCTCTCTGCTTGGTCGTCGGTCCCCACACTGAGCGGGCCATCTGCCGCTTCCCTTGTCAAAAACAAACCCGCTATTTCTCAAGTACAACAAGCTCGGGTGTCTCTGGGTTGCAACTGCCTTCTTTCATGTTTTGTGGTATGTAGACAATCTATAGGCTTATTGGGTTAATGTATCCTGCTTCCACTTTTTCTTTTTATGACAAGATTGAGAATGAGCAGCGTGTTCAGAGATGTCGTTCTGGCTAAAATTAGTTTGCTCACATCCAGGATTTGCCACTCCTTGTTCGACAGGATCAGATGGTGTGAAGGAAGTATTTTAGGATCAAAAAGTTATTAAATGAATGCTAAAGTTAGCCAGCTTGTCAACATCTCTAAATAGTTCTGAAGAAGAAGGAAGTGGGGAGGAAGAATCAATATGTTCCAGCCTGAAGTGAAATTTTATACTGGAGATTTGATATCCACCAGCAGCTTAGACACCTGCCCAGGATCTCAAACTGGTATATTATGGTCTTAAAGTGACAGAACAAAATGAGATGCTGGATTGAAGGTGTGTGAAGTTAATAGACTAATGTGATGAGATGGCAACATGGCTTATGTTGACGACTGGCTGAGTCCTAATCATTTCTCTTTGTTTCCCACAGATGCATCATCCTATCCAGATGAAACCTGCTGACAGTGAGAAAACAAGTGGTAGGTGGCTGCTTTTGAAACAAAACCCACAGGATTTGACAAAGGGGCATATTTTGACTTTTAAAACAGAGGAAAGGACTCATGGTTCAGTGGTTGGAGCGGGTGCACCGTGTCAGTCTGCAGTGCCAGCTGTCCTGGGTGTGAATCGCTTCCCCCTTCTCGTTCCTGTCTGGAAACTGTAAAGTGAAACCAACTAATGCCTTCAGAATTAGAGGAAAAGATGCCACATTTTCAGGAAATGATGGAGGAAAAAAAGTGAGAAATTTGACATTTTCAGTTTCAAAATAAACTATATGGTCACCTTATGGCATATGCCTTTTATGAAAGGAAAAATTGTGTCATTCAATATGTAGTTTCTTCTAATTATGCCCACTGCTGTTGTCAACACAGACACAGAATGGAGGGAAAAAGGGACATCCAGTCATGCCTTGAATTTTGCTCCTTTATAAATTTTTATATTTTTTTAATTTACTAGTTGCTGTAAATGGAAAAAATTGTAAACTAAAATTGAAACAAAGCTGTTTAGCAGATTAGAATGAGTTCAGTCTGAGGTTGGGTTGTTTTTTCATTGTGGTTGTGATTCTCATGTCAATCGTTGCCAACAAAGCGTTTAAACTGTCTGTTTTTCACTCATGCAATAAAGCAAAGTTCTGAAACTCGAGTCCTCAATTTCCACCTTACCGCCATTTTTGGACGCATCCCTGCTCCAACACACGTCAGTCAAAAGGCTGAATTGCCTCCTCAGCATGTTTTGCAAAAGGCCTCTTCATTCCCCATTCATTTGATTCAGGTGTACTGGAGCAGGGGGGCATTCAAAAGTTGCAGGACATTAATACCTGAGGACTGCAGTTACAGTAAAGGTTTCCAAAATCTGAAACTGTCAGTTTAGATTCAGTTTGGGATTTAGATGTGTTGATGTTGAATCGAGATTGCTGGTGAAATTTCTAGCGTTGTAGCTGTCATGTTGTACACTAGCGGTTTTTTTTGTTGTTTTTTTTTTCTTTTTTTATAGTGCTGACAAATTAAACAAAAAAAAATCTCTTTTTTTTTTTTAGAAATCCAGAATTTGATTTCCGAATCAATAAAAAAAAAACATTTATTGAAAGCAAATATCTAAAACAGGCTTTTATTTAATTAATTCCTTCTGTTATTTGACTTGAATTCCAAGTTAAATAAATGACTATTAAACGCGCTTGAAAAAAAAAAAGATGGTGGTTCTTGGGTGAGCTGACGTCTCTCTGGAAAACTTAATCTTCAAAACCAGAAAATCCGATGAATTTATAAAATCGATTTGTCGTCCAGCGCTATGTCAAAGATTAACTGCTTGACTTTCTAAAGAATGTTGATAAATTCAGACTGTACTTTGGTACCGGTCCGGGAGACGAGATGTAGCTTCAGCACAGTGATGCCACTGCACCTCAGTGATGAACTGTGTATCATTTCAAGGCAGTGTGAGCGAAAGAAACATCAGAGAGGTGATACTGTCATAAAGCAATTTATTCAGTTTAAGAAGGGCGGATCTCACCAGCTTTATGATGAACTATCCATGTTGGTTTTTAAAATAGCTGCAGTGGCTGAAAGGCTTTGTGTAAATTATCTGTTTGCACTGAACCAAACATCCCTGTGTCAAAAGCTTTGCCAAACAAAAGTACTGTCACCTTATGATGCTGTAATTAATAGCACATTACTACTGAGTGTTGGTTATTATCAAAACTTGTTTCCTGTAACTGAATTGGTCATTTTTAGTCTTTTCTGAAAACACCCATATCTGGACTAAACTCATAAAACACAACAGTGTGCATTTTCTGTTTGTTGTGAGGAAGAGCTTTGAAAAAGGATAAGTATAGATAATTGGCTTAAAACTCATGGAGGGAAAACAGTGCTGTGAAGTTGGCACTTTGAGTGAAAGACAGAACGTGCTAGAAATGACAGTGAGTGAAGGTTCAGGCGGAGCGGTGCAACGACGACCGTTTCTTTTCACTGCTCCTCTGTTGTCCAGGAATAATCGCTCTCCTTTATCCCATCTGCAGCAGTGGAAGACAGAAAACTGTTTGTGGGAATGGTTTCGAAGAAATACGGCGAGAACGAGGTCAGAATGATGTTCTCGTCTTTCGGACAGATCGAAGAATGCCGAATTCTCCGGGGACCGGACGGTCAGAGCAGAGGTAAGTGCGCTTTTAGCATCCAGGCACTCAGCTCTGAGCATTACAGTCGCCACCCCTCTGAACAGCCAAGAAGATATTCTCATTAAGAATTCATGGCGCTCCTTCCGAATTTAATTTAAACCCCCACAATCCACAAATCGAGAGCTTTAAAAAAAAAAAAAAAAAATATATATATATATATATATATATATATCTTCAGTAGAGTCCTTCCTGTCCTCCCCGTCGCTGTGACTCCGAGCCTCCACATGTCACGGTGAAGGGCTGCTGCACTCGCTGCCCGGCACAATGGCCCGTCTCCTTGGCAACTGCTGGCGGCTGGTGTTCATTGGCTCAGCTGGCAGACACCTCAGCTCAGCTGCTCCTTTGCCACCTCCTTAATCATACACTGCAAAGGCTGGAATTACCTCGTATCTTCTGCGTAGCTTTCTGTTGCATAAGGACTCGGATTGCAGTGAAATTGAGTGAACGTATACACTTCAGCCTCTATTTAACGCAGTTGGCTTCAACTTCCAGCTTTTTCTAGCTATATATATGCAGTGTAGCTAGTTATAAATGAGCTTTATTTTTATTTTTTTGTTGTTGTTTCCAGGCCTGAATTATTTCAGCCAATCACTGTGTGTATGTGTGCATTTGTTTTGATACAATCACGTCGACCGTCTTCCCCTTGACACCACATAGTCGAGCCTCTTGGTGGCAACTTAATCTGTTGATCATTGTGCTCATGTGACCAGTGTTTACTGTTCTCCTCGTTGTGTTCTTTCTCCGTGTGCTAACCAGTGAGGGTGGTTCTGTGTGCTTGGGAGTTGCCATTTTCTGTACTGTAATGTCTGTTTTTTGGGGTTCATAACGAGTTGTCCAAACCTTTTTTTGTCTTGTTTTTGTTTCTTCTTGTCCCTCCCTCCCCCCCTTTCCTATTGTTATCCCCCCTACAGGCTGTGCGTTTGTCACATTTGCTACCAGGGCAATGGCACAGAATGCAATCAAAACCATGCATCACTCTCAAACTATGGAGGTACTGTACCCCTTAGCACCTATTTCTCATTTTCCCCCTTTTTTCCCCCTTCGTACATTTTTGCTGCCCCCTTGTGTTGGAAATATGAAGAGCTTGTTCTATCAGAAATAATTCAATAGGGCATGAGGTGTATCTAAAGCAACTGCTTATTACAATATCAAATAGTTGGCAGAGTAATTGAATAAAAGTAAAAACATTGCTAGTTATAGTTCATAAAAATGCCTGTCCTGAAATAAACATACCTTTATTCGGATAGGGATCAAATGGTGTTTTTTTTTTTTTCCTTTTTCCCCGTCACGGTGAAAATAACCCACTCAAATCAAATTTAGGTGAAAATGGAGATAGCCCACCCTTTCCCACATCTTGGAAGAACTGGGGCTGTACTCTCATATTAGCCGGTGGAGTCTTTGTGGAAGTAGAGCAGCAGTAATTTGACAGCTAGGTCAGAGGCTCCCCAGTGAAGTGTTGGACCCAGTCTAATTAGGAGCTAAACCAAACAGAACGCTCCTCCTACTAGATTAAATTTAAGCCCCAATGGGGGTCACCACTTCCTACCCTCCTCTCCCTTCCTCCCTATATCATTTCCTCCCCGATTTTCTTAGCTGCCATGGGAGGTGCTGCTGGTGCAGAAGCCATTTTCCCTATCCAGCCTGGTCCCTGTCTGGCGCTCAACTCTGGAAAAAAATACTTTTGCACCGCATGCCTTGTCCATGCGTCTGTCTGAACAATATGTGACTGTATGTTTGCGAGGTTCTGTGTAATATATTGCATTTTTCCCGTTACGTCCGCTGACATCCATGTTTGAGTGTTTTTTTTTTCTATCATTTTCTTCTTTTCATTTATTTTTTGTTTCAAACGTTGTGTCCATATGTTGTGTGATATCTGTGGACTGAGTTTAACTCTGCAGAGTGCTAAAATTATTCACCGTCTGCACCATCGTCCCACACGCCCTTTTTTTGGAATGTAGCCTGGCTCAGCAATGCATGGCAGATGTCCTCTCTGTTAGCTTTGATATGCATGTGTGCAATGCATATCAAGGCTAATTCCTTTGCCACCATGTGACTGTGCATTGGTAAATAAAAGGTTAATGTCTTTGTGTGTGTGTGTGTCTGCGCTTTGGAACCAGTTTGACGTCTCTTACCTTTTTTTACTGCTTCAGGGTTGTTCTTCACCTTTGGTTGTAAAGTTTGCTGATACCCAGAGGGACAAGGAGCAGCGGCGCCTGCAGCAGCAGCTCGTGCAGCAAATTCAGCAGCTTAACAACGCCTCCACCTGGGGAAACCTGGCAGGGCTGGGAACCCTGACACCGCAGTATCTAGCGGTGAGTGTCAACGAACAAACTGTCTCCACCTCTACGGCAATTATAACTTGCAAAAATTGATGCACACCTTGAATTTTTTCATTCTGCAACCGCAAATGGTTGCAACCATGTAATTATAAAGAAATATGGTTAACAAAACCTAAAAAGTTTAGGTTTTGTTATGTAGAATCTACATATCATGCATTTGTAATTTATAGAGTTTATTTCTGAGTGATTTAATATCTAAGCCTCGTGTCAAACCCAAGGGCCACTATTTATGTTTCCCCCTCGACTCTAGAGCAGCAGTGTCTCATCCATTTCCATTTTGAGCCATATTAGGATGATGAATGTCCCTAAAGACCCGGTTGTGACAGAAAATATAAATTAAAACCCATTAAAGAATTGCTACAACATATTAATAAATAGCTGACTTCTTAAAATTAAATACTGAACATATTTCCACATTATAATTTGGCACTATAAAAATGAAATTGCTTTTATTTGGTTGATAAAATATTTAAGTGCACAACTGTTGCCTTGAATTTTAGAGTGCGGTGGGCCACATAAAAAGCTGTGGCGGACCGGTTTTGGCCCTCTGGTCTCGATTTTGACACACATGATCATACATTGCCACATATACAGAACTTCAAAATCACATCAGTCGATTCAAATCAGTTTTTATTTGCACAGTGACAGTCGGTGTGAAAGGACATTAAATATTAAACTTTAATGAATCATTTTTTATTGAATCTGGTATTTTAACAGTTTAATAGATATTTTTCTCAATACATTCTGCCAAAACTGACTCTTTGAGGAAAATTTAGGATCTTCATGCGACCTGAAATGAAAATGATTTTGGCAACTTGGTCTCAAACATGCATAACTACAGTTGACGCACCCAAAACTAATTAGTTCATGTAAGAACAAATGGTAAATATTAGTTTTTAGATGAGAAGAGCCAAAATACATGAAGACCTTCTTGACTTTTTTTCATTTTTTTTTATATTAAATATGGCTCGTTTTTTATAAATCTTTTTTCCTCTTCTACATTATTCTGCTTTGTCATATATGATCCCAATTGAATATATGTTTGTGGTTTTAAAAAGAGAAAAGTGATAAAGGAGTATAAATCCTTCTGCAAACTCCATACAGTTTGATGAAACAAAGGGCAACTGATGTATTGTCTTCAGTGGTGACGGTTTGTTCTGTAGAGCTTCATAGATCCAGAAACTTGAAATCGTGCGACGATTAAGTCTGATCTATACACCCATTTTCTTGGCTCAGACTAGGAAACATCTTCACTCCCAGTTTGTGTCCTGGCTAACGAGGAAAGGCACGTGACTCGCATGAGTGTTCTGTAACGCTGAGCCAAACACCATGTGACTCGAACATGAACAGACGAGCCGTTTGGTTTCTGCCAAGAAAACGAGGACAAAAACCTGGCAGGCTGCTATTTCGTCAATCTGAAATATACGTTTTAAATAGGACGGCAAAAATCCTCAGTAAATATTTTAAAACATACAGAATTCATGCTGAAATGTGTCCAGTGGTTTCTATTTATAAAGATTTTAAATAATTTAGAGTTTAAGAGAGTGCTCTAATGTCTGATCTGTTTTTTGTATTCATTTTTTCTGCTTCCAGTTACTCCAGCAGGCGACATCAACCACTAATCAAAGCAGTTTCAATGGCATTCAGAGGCTAGGAGGTGAGTTTCACTATCAGATGTTAAAAACCATTTATCTCATTATTCGGACTGTTAAAGGGAAGTTTCTATGTCACCAATCCTACCATGTGGTTCAAGTCTAATAAATCGCTTTGCTGCCTTACGTTGGGGGGACATGGCCTGGAGCTATTGTAATACTGCAAGGCCTTCGTATTGACAGCACTTTTCCATTAGTCGAGCTAATGTAGTGCAGCTGTTGGTATTAAAAAAACGATTTGAAGTCCAGTGTTATATCTAAGGCAGTTTTTTTTTTCTGCTGGAGCAGTAATTTATCAATTAAAAATGTGCAGTTGTGTGACGGTACATTTAACTGCTTAAAAGAACGTTTTCTTTTAATGATAAAATCATGGAAATGTGTTAAAGTAAAAGCTGTGGGGGTTGTTTTGCGGTTTCTGTCCATCAGAATACTAAAAACTTTTTTTTTTTATAAGTTAAAGCGTTGTTTGGATCTTTGCAATGTGGAAAGAAATTGTCATAATCATGGTGATGAAAACAGAGGCAGGTTTTCAAATCCACATTTTATTGTGGATCGGTAAGGCTCTGGGTCGTCCTGCTGCTTTTCAATTTAGATTTTACACCTTCTTATAAAACCTGTGTAGCTGTAGTTTATGACAATTTAGTTATCATGATTAGAGAAGTCAGAATCCTCAAATTTCATCTACATTTTAAGAATAGAACATATTAAATGTGCCTCAGTTTTCCAACATGGATATTGAATATTCTATTCCCCCCCATTAATTTATTTTTGTCTCATTTCATGGGTTGTAGTTTTGTTGGGATAATTATATTACTCTAAATCTTGTGTTGTTTTTTTTTTTTTTTTTTACATGACAAACAAGGACTCCAGTAGTTGTCATAAAACCCTTCATGAATAACATGCGACAGTTCTCTGCGGGTCACTTGAGTGAAAAAAAGTGAAAATTCAAAAATAAGTTGAGTTATAGTTAAGAACCCTCTGCGAAACTAATTTGGCACGTTGCACTATTGCAAAAGTAAATGACAGAAATATTTGGTGTACATACAAATATTTGTACAAATTTTTACTTTTTATTTCCGCTGATGTTCTATATCTATGTCGTCTGTATGTGGTGTCAGATTCCTTGTTTGCGCAAATACTTGACTAATGAAGCTTATTCTGATGCTGAAGGTTATCAAATTGGGTTTTCAGCACCCATATAGCTCTTAAGTTTAAAACCTAATGGTATTAAAGGTCAACAAGTCATAAATTTAACAGACTGAAGCTCTCTGTCTGCAGACTGCTAAAATAATTTGGTTTAATGTTGGATTCATCAAAGGCAGTAGAGAGAATATATTGTTTTCTGCTTTATTGTGGGCAGAAAATTGCGCTGCAAGAGAATTTGAAAAGGCTCATGCCTGCAGGAACCGGAGCTTAAACATGGCCGTCATCCGTAATTAACCTCTGCTGCTTTGTATTTTCAGCAGGTGTGAATCCTCTTCAGCTGCAAAACCTGGCCACGTTGGCTGCGGCCGCAGCTGCAGCCCAGAGCTCTGCCAGCCCGACTTCAACCAACGCTCTGTCAACCAGCAGCGCAGCCCTGGGGGCCCTCGCCAGTCCAGGTGAGTTAAAATCAATCATAGGCTCAGATTAATACCCCCCAATTCATCATTGAGTTTACAGCAGTGAAGACGCAGGTCCAAACCCTCAGAATTAGTCGAGCCTTATTTGCAGGATTCAGATCAAAGTTAGCCCTCTGGCCCTACTTACTTTACCAACCTGCATATTTGTGGTCTTCAGTTTATGTATGTTTTTAAATGAGACATGAACAAACTTAGCCACGTGTGATTTTAATTGAGTTTATGTAATGAAAGCGTCACAATGGTGAAATCGTGTTTTTCAACATTACAGGAATACCGACAAAGTTTTCCCCACATTTCTAATGGAAACTCAGCTACTGTCTTCCTCCACCTGGTTCAACCGTACTTCAATAATTGACCACTTTTCCTCATGAAGCTCATTATCTATGTATATATTTTTTCAAAATCTGCCTGCAGGTTCAACAGCAGGGTCCAGTGCTGGTGCTGCCATGAACACCCTGGCCTCTCTGGGCACACTGCAGAGTCTTACTGGCACCTCTGTGGGCCTCAACAACCTTAATGCCCTCACTAGTGGTGTCAGTGGTGAGTCTCCTCTTCGTACGCCTCAGAAAATGCCAAAGAAGAAATGCAACCCGCTAAATACGAAGTGTTTAGCGGGTTGCACCATGCCTGTTTGCTTTGCTGTTCCAGGTATGGGGGCCATGAACGGAGGCCTGGGAGCCTCCATGGCCAACGGCTCGGCTGCAAGTTCCATGGATGCACTGACACAGGCCTACTCAGGGATGCAGCAGTACACGGCCTCCGCCCTGCCCTCCCTCTACAGCCAGTCTCTGCTGCAGCAGAGCGTGGCTGGCAGTCAGAAGGAAGGTGAATACATCCTCAACGAACACACAACACTTTCCACACTCGCAGCGCATGAAGAACTTGCCGAACTGGACATGAGTAATTACTGTTGAATGCTTCCAAGGTCGTATGTAACTTTAGTTCCTGGTTTCTTACTAAATGGAGTAGGGCCAGAGGGCGCCAACCTGTTCATCTACCACCTGCCGCAAGAGTTCGGGGACCAGGATCTTCTGCAGATGTTCATGCCTTTTGGAAACGTGGTCTCTGCCAAAGTCTTTATTGACAAACAGACCAATCTGAGCAAATGCTTTGGTAAGTGAATATAGATTTGTTGTGTAATTGGGGAATAGGTGTGGGGTAATGGGTAAGCTTAAATTACCACAGGGTCTGATTGAGGTATCTTAAAAAGTAGTTTGTTTTGAAACAGTATGAATTATTTTTGTGTAAAGATCAGTTTGTGTAAAGATCAGTTTTATTACTCTGGGTAGCTGAGTAAATACTTTGAAATCATGTTTTACATTTGAAAGGATCCATTTCCTAAAGATGGGGGACTGGATATTGGTGCAGTTTTAGATTAACATCTAGATTTTGCACTTTTGCAGCTTGACTTAGATGTGATTTGTTCATTAGGAACTTGGGTCAAACCCTGAGTAAATCAAAAATTTTTTTGATGTAACGCTAAATAAAAGCTGGACGTGATTTACTCAGAGGTGGTCGACTAAGAACATGTTTTCATTTTATTGCTGATTCAACACCTAGGAGTTTCTCCTCAGTATGTTCAGGTTCTGCAGGAACCTATAAACTATCTATTAATTAGTTCTCCTCTTGAGAACTACAGCTAGTCATCCTGGATCTATAACATTTTATTGCATATTTATACTCAAAGACTTCTCCTTGTGCATTTCAGTTTAAGTAAATTCTTATTGTATAGCATTTTGAACAACAATTTTGTGAAATGCCAATAAAGAATTACAAGTGAGACAAGTTGTCAGCAGCTCAGCTAATTAGCTGAGCTACCTGCTCAGGTACCTCTGCTATCAACCACTTAAGTGTTGGAAAATCTGAAATATTTGAATGTAATTTATAAGGTGATGTTCCCTCATAATATTGATGGTTCTACTTTATTTTGTAAGACTGGTTTTCAAAGCTCAAAATGTTTCAAAAATGTTATTTTTGCATCAAGTCAGAATGTTGAAGCCTTTCTACAGGCATGGGGTTGGTTTTAGGGTGGATGGAGTGCAGTACGTCTCCATGTTGCTCCCAGCTTGAGAGAGATCATTCACAAGACTGCTTCAGTCACACATACTTTTATATTTCTTAGTTAGTTTACACCACATAAACTATTCTCTTGCTAGTTTATGTGGTGTAACCCCCCCCCCAAACATATGCATATTGTTGAGCTGGATTTCAGAAAGAATCCAAGGAAAGCCAAATCTGAAACTGAATCCAGGATGCATGGGAATTTTGATGAATTTGAAAATATGTTTTAGATCCACTTTCAGTCCAAATGTCCATCCTCTTTAAACCAATTCAGAAACTTGATCAACACAAGCAGATACTGCAGTACCTTGTCATTTAACTGATGAGACTGCCCCCAACTGGTGACTAAATGTTACAACAATTAACTCTAAAGCAGGGGTGCACAAAGTCGCTCCTGGAGGGCCGGCATCCTCCATGTTTTAGTTCTCTCCCTGGTGGCAGTAACATCCTTCCCAGCATGTAAATGTTCTTCTTAGGTCTTCTAAAGAGCCATCATTTTATCCAGGTGTGTTAAACCAGGGAGAGAACTAAAACATGCAGGACGCCGGCCCTCAAGAACCGACTTTGGGCACCACAGACTCGAGTAAATGTATCCAAGCATCCAGACTGTCTGATTAAACCAGCCGAGTGTTTTGGGCTATGCTGTCAAGCACAGAGGGTCTTTCATGCTGTCTGTGGCATTGGTGCGTTGCACAAAGTATTTTTAGGAATGGATGAGGCAAGCTGACAATAAGCTTGTGTCTTGACCCCTGACCTCCACTCTATTAATGCTTAAAAGCTGCAGCTAAGGCAGGAAACCAGCCAGTTTAATCCTACTCAGAACAACGTTACGGTTCAGTTCCCGTTTTATAGATGCCAAACAGCTCTGTGTTCAGTGAGCACATGAGATTTTAACGCATGTTTGTTTGTTTTTTGTTTTTTTTTAAGGGTTCGTCAGCTATGACAATCCTGTCTCCGCGCAGGCTGCCATTCAGGCCATGAACGGTTTCCAGATCGGCATGAAGAGGCTGAAGGTTCAGCTGAAGCGCTCCAAGAACGACAGCAAACCCTACTGATCCTTGCCTGGGGCCTCCCCCCCAGCCCTCTCCCCAGCTCAGTTCTAGCACTGCTAGGGTAAGTTCACCCTCCTGCCAAGGTCACCACAGCAGAGACTCAGGGGGGGTCAAAGGGGACAGGAGCCCACCACGGGAGGAAGACTCACCCTTTTCCTTAAACTAAAGAAAAACAAAAAAAAAAAAAAAGGTTGCTAAGATCTCTCCACGTTTTTGCTGTATTTCATTCCTGCGGTTTTCATTATGTACTTTTGAGTCTGAAATATTTTAATGTATATGATTATTTATGACTATCACTGGAGTCAGTGTTTGCTGGAGGTATTTTGTGTCACTGTATTTAGTGGAGAGCATCAGATGTGTTTCCATTGCCACTTCATTGCCTTCAGGTCAAGTGAGCCAGGTTGACTAAGGATCAGTTGTTGTTGAAGGGCTGAAGCGAGGCCACACAGAACCTGAGCCAGAGCTTCAACCTGCTTTTCACTTCTCATCTGTAGTCTGTCTCATGTTGTCGTCGTTGTCGTGAATATCTAGCAGTCTTTTCCATTTCCTCTCTTCTTTTTTTTTTGTCTGTTTACATTCATTGCCCAAGCCATTTTAAGCTAGGCTACCTCTTTTTTTCTCTATTAACAATTTCCTCCAGTCATTCCATCCATCCTCCAAGTCTCCCACAAGGGACTGGGCTCTAGATGGATCTCTTTCGGTGCCAAGTATAAAAGTATGTGCATGTCGGAGTCTGCCATAAGTCCTAGTGGTGTCACTTCTGTAAATCGGTGTGTTGTTTTTGTGTGTCGGGAGAGAGGGGGCGGACGTGTTTACCCTGCTGTCCTTGCTGTTACGTGGTGACTTGCATTATTTTTTTTTGTTGTTGTTTATTGTGCCTCATGGCTTGAAAAAATTTTTTCTTGTGCTGTGCCCCTAACTTTCTCTTCTCTCCTCTTTGTCCTGTCTCTCCTCTCTCTCTCTCTCTCTCTCTCTTCGTGTTTTTGTTCCTTTTAGAACAAATCTCCATGCCTGTTTGCTCATCATTAGCCTAGCATGTCTTCATGATGTTGAAAGCCAAGCCAAACCCCTTCTCCCTGGCCTCATCATCCCACCATTGTCTGTGATGTCTCTCTAAGCTCGCCTGACCAATACCCGGCCACCCACTGACCCTGACCTTAGCTCAACCTGATTTTTCTGCATGTATGATCATGTTTTTTTTTTTTTTTGTTTTTGGGTTTTTTGTTAGGTTTTTTTTTCCTTTTTTTTTCGCTTTTTGTTTTTTCTATAAGTAAATGTGACGGGCAGGAGAGAGGTCAAGCATATTAATGTGAAAACTTAGCTGCAATGATTTCATTGAAGAGACGTTTTTTGTTTTTCTGTTAATGTTTTTAAAAACCTGTGGGATTTTTAATTTAGCTATGTATTTTCTTTTTACCTCTCTCAGTAATAGTTCACTTGAAAGTTGAATACAGGGATTGGCACACATCTGTGCTATTTGGTGCCATTAGCAATATTTTGGCTTCTTAAAGGAAAAAAAAAAAGATCCTACAGACCACTTTTCCAACATTTTTTCAGTCTGACCAGTAAAAGTCGCTCTCGGCGATCTGTTTTGATCTCTACATTATGTGGGCAGTGTGACGATTTACATCAAGGCTATTTAAAATATTTTCTTTTTTCATTTACAAAAATGAGTGTATTTACCTTTTTATTAAACTATCAATGGCACAATAAAAGGTACATTTGCTCTGCTGAGAGAAATGACTACCTACATGAGTCAACTTTTTTAGAACTGATTCACAAATAGACAATCTGTGGTTTAAATGCACACTTAGATTACCTATATTTTGTACCATTGAATCTATAGAGGTTTAACTAACAACCCAGGCACAACTTTGGGTTTTTTTGTAGATTTTTGTTGTATTGTCATCTATGTTGGGGAGCGGGAGGGGGGAGTGTTTTCAGTTTATTAGTCTTTTTTTTTTTCTTTAAAAAAAAAAGGACTAAAGTTTGAGTTTGGTGACCATTTGTGGGTCATTTGTAATAAATTTAGTAACATTCTGGTTTAATTAAAAATGACATCTGGTTTAAGAATTTTAAGGGTCAAATTTTGAGGCTACTTTTTATTTTAATCTTTTTTCCTGTTATATAAAATGTTCGACTTCAAAGGTACGTCTTGTTGACTCTGAATTAGTTTTTTTTTTTTTTTCATTACTAACTTAATCGATGGATGTTTCACTTTGGTTTAGCTTGGATTGCCTCATGTTTGAAAAATTATTTACAATGTCTGTTAATCATCCATGGACAATGTTGTTTTCATTTTTTTTTTTCCTTTTGTTTTTTTTTTTTGGTTGTTGGAAGTGCCCATGTGTCAAACTCTTGTTTTTGAATACACAACTTTTTTGGGGGTTTATTTGCTGTAATATCTAGTTTTTCTTTACACACACACACACACACGCAATACTTAATGTGGTTGCATCAGTGGGAGCCCCTGAAGAGGAGATCACTTGGACAAAAAACACAACCTGTGGGTCTCTGCACATTTTAGACACACGTTTGCTTTTTACCTCACCTGTTTGCTGTTTTCTGATTTTGTTTCTGGCATGGCACATTTGAAAAGCTCCACCACTTTAGTGTTGGGATACAAATACATTCCATTATTCTGCACCAAGTTTACACTTTTTTATCAGGGTGAAATTTTCTCTCTTGTGCTACACATTGTTAAAACAACCCTGCTAAAAAAAAAATTAAAAAAAACACCTCACCCACCCTCCACCACTTAAAAAAATAAAAAATAAAATAAAAAAACAACAAAAAAACCAAAAGAAAAAAAGGGTTCCTAAACTGCTTACCTGGTGGCGCTAAAGAGTTGTCAACTCAGGGGTTTTTATGTGTTTAAAACTTCAACAAGCAGGATTATGACACAAAATGCACACTTTTCTCACCATTTTTAATCTTTTTCAGTTGGGATTTTTTTTTTTTTGTTTTGTTTTATTATAACCCAAAAATATATATATTAAAAAATACCAAATTTGCAACAGCGCTCAAGAAAAGTGTTCTAGTTTTGTAAGGAAATGTGAAGCACAATTGTGGGAGCTAAACACTGACAGAATGTGGTGAGTGTGTGTGATTTTGATCCAAAATTTTCAAGGTACCACTGATTTCTCTTTTAATATGGGCATGTGCTTTTTACAGTGTTTTTTCTATCCAAATGCAATACAATATTCAAAGTGCCATATATAAATATGTCTAGAAACTGCCTACACTTGTTATTAGGCCTTGGTTTACAAGTTGCTGCAGTTTGCCTTTTTTCCATTTAATTTGTTTTTTTGTTTTTTTGTTTTTTCTGGTCTGTTAATGCCAGTGTCATAAAGCTCTTTGTTACCTGCTAATATCCCCACTTTCCCCCCCTTCTCTCTCCCTCTTTCTCTGTGCTGCGTTATTGGTAAATGTGTTTTGTGATGTACTCGATTTGAACAGTTGGTTTTTAAAAAAGAAAATGTAGATAAACAATAAACTTCCCAATACATTTGAAGGTTAAGCGTCTCAGTGCGTATTGAAACACTTGGTGATGCCAACTGTGTTGTGATCTGCTGTTTTTTTCTTTGGTTTTGTTTCGTTTTTCCCGGGGGGGGGGAGGTTGAAGTTGAAAAGCGAGCTCGAGAATGAAAGTGAGCCGAGAGGGGTTAAGATAATTAGATCGCAGGTGTTTCGCAAAGTACTTCATGGTGTATTACATTTTTAAAAAATCAATAAAAACAAGTAAATAATAATAAAAAAAAGCACAATGTATAGTCAGAGCCGTCCCATCAGGAACTGGACTCACTTCAGGGGCTTCCATCTCAAATCTCCATCAGCTCTAACAATCACTTTGACTCTTGTTGTTTCTCATTTTGAAGTGCTTTTCTTTCTTTTTTTTCTTTTCGTGTAGGTAGCATTGCGTGTTCATCGGGGAAAAACAAGTTAAAGAAGAAAAAAAAAACAACTTATTTTCTTGTCTATTAATCAGTAGGACTTTATTCATGTTCCACCAATAATTTAATAGATGTTTCGTCTTGTCTCGAGGAAAGCCAAAGTGAGTGCATCTTGATGTGAGCTGTATTATACACACAGTAGAGTTTATTTCTGTCCAAACTTTTGGAAAGAGGGTGGGATTTAAACAACAAAAAAACAAAAAAACTAAAGACGTATACAGGCTGTCCCAATTTCTACAACTGGTTGTTCATATGTATTTTGTACCAGTGAAGCTTTTTATATTGGAAATTAAAGGAAAAGGACAAAAAAACAGAACATCTATATCGAAAAGAATAAAAAACTAAATAAATGTCCGGCCTCTCAATGTGGCCTTGCCTTGACCAGGTCTGGAGTTTGGCCTTTGGTCTAGCTTTGATTTTGATTTTTTTTTTTTAAATTTTTTTCCTGCTTTAGCCTCTAAAAGATGCCTGAGTTTGAGTTTTACTCTGATCGCTACACGGTCCTCACTTCGTTAGTCAATTTCGGGGGAGGGTTGGGATCCTCTAATCGTGGTAAGTTTCATGTTAGTGATTGTGTTTTCCACATAATTTAATGGTCAGGATTTTTTGACAACTTGTGTGGATAATTGTCTTAGTTAAAAAGTCGCGTGTTTAGTTCAAAGCTTTGCTTTTTACTTGTAGTTTTTTTTTTTTCTTTCCAACCATAGCGGAGTGTGTAGCTGGAAGATTTAATTTTTTTCTTTTTTTCGTTTTGATCAGTGTTCGTTTGTGTGGTGTGTTTCTTTGCCTCTGTCTCGAAATTAAACCATTTCCCCTAATATGGACTGTGTGTCTTTGTCTGTTTTGTGCTCGTCCGGTGTTGTACAGACATTTTATGGACCACCCTTCCCTCTCCCAGTGTGTCGTGTCTCTCTTGTGCTTCTCTTTGCTGTAGCCTTTTTAAAGTGAATCGAGCTTTTGCAGATCTGATGTCGCCTTTGGCGCGAATTAAAAACAAATGTAGTCCATTTCCAATATGAGGTAGACATAACGTTGGAGCAGAAATCCCTAAAGCGGAATACAAGTTTTTTTTTTTTTGGTTCTACTTTATCAATTTACCTTAGTCTTGACCTTAAACACACTTTCTTAGTTTTTAGGAAGTGTCGACCGCCAGTTTTCTGGTGGTTGACCAGAAATGGAGGCGATGTTTTGACAGGATCACTAATAGTTGCACGTTTCATTTTCAATCTGGCCTTTGAAAGTGGAGGAAAGCTCACTACAACCCACTGAGAAGATTTAAAACTCCACCGCTTGCTTCTTACTTCCTGAGCAAATTACTCATCATCTTTGTGGATAGCTAACATGTCGGGAGATGAACGCTGGTTGTGTGGGGCTAAATGACAACCAAACATGCCAAAGAGCCTCACCCTTAAGCCACAAATGTGTTTTACAACATTACAAACAATTCAACATAAAAATGTGGTTGGAGGGCCGACTGCCATATTGCTGTTCACACTCCAATGTTTCAGTGCATCAGCGTCTTTACCTAATGCATTTAAAACAAGGTATAACATCAAGGAAAGTCGAAAATCATTGCTGCACAGCAGCGCCACCCAGTGGTAAGAAATCAAGTAAAATTCAATGTTTAAATCAGAATTTTGCACCATGACAAAAGTCTTGACAGAGCTTTTTATTTAATATCCATTATCACTTCTTAATCCATGTGAGAATTGCCTATTAACAAAAGGTCTTGTAGGTATCCAGGTCTTCTGGGTGTTTAGAAAAGCACTATTCTGTCACCATTCTGGGATCATGGGGCTTTTATATAGATGCCTGTATTCTGTAGGACATGTACATTTTTACATAGGAGAGTGGTGTAATATGAAAAGGGTCACTGGTAGGTTTGTCCATTGGTTGCACAACAGACCTATGTTGACTGCCGACATAGCTCTGATGTAGGGTAACTTTTCCTGCCACTGTGTTTTGAAGTGTTTTTCTTAGTGGACCATCCACTTGAGAAACAATGACCCAGATTGGTTGCATGTAGCCAACCCACTCTGGTGCCATGGTAACTCATTAAAATCATGCCCATCCAACCTGATCAAAACCTTGAGGCCTATATGCTGGGCAGTTGTTTGTTACGCCACAAACAATATTTCATTTGGATTTTAAACGGCCAACACAAAGCAGTATGCAATATCTTCTAAGATTAAATCTGAAAAGTTTGTCCTGTATACAGACCCTAACCCTAAGACTGTTTTGTGGTTACTCATGCGGCTCTTTAGCGCCGCCCTAGTGGCTCCCTGGAGCTTTTTCAAAAGTGTTTGAAAATTGAAAAAGATGGGGGTGGGAAATGTGTGTTTTAATATGGTTTCTGTAGGAGGACAACGCGACACAGATTCTTAACGTTTTCCAATGCTATGAAAATGAATATAATGAATGAATTAATATAAAATTTCAATGTGGAAGGATCAGCTGAATGTTTGCTCTGTAGCGAAAAGTTGTCAAATGACAAAAAGACCATACTTTCTGGACTATGGAGCGCACCTTAATGTAAGTCGTACCTACCATTTTTTCTTTTCTTTCTTTAAAAAAAAACAAACAAACAAAAAATAAACAAATAAATAAAAACTGGAAATGTACATGTAAAAGCCGCACCGGGACATATGCCGCATGGTTCAAAGCATGGGGAGGAAAAGTAGCGGCTGATAGTCCGAAAAATAATGTGGAAAGACATTTCCAGGGAAGGTTTACGTCAAGATTAAGTGAACATAAGTCTCACAAAACTGCCACAGGCACATATTTAGTAACAAACTGGTCGTTTTAATAAATTGATGAGTGATTTTTGTCAGTTTATATTTAGAATGACACTCAGCGATATTATTGTGTTTAAATTGCTCAGGATGGCCGGTTGTGCGTCAACAGAGAAGAGGATGCTGCTGTGTTTTACCATCGCACTGAGAGACCGGAGCTGCATTGCACAGAAATCAAACTTAAACTGTATTACTTTAATTTGATATATTTTATCTTTTCAAAAAGGCTGCTTCTTTTCCTTTTTTTTTATTACACGCTTAAAGTGATTCTTTACAAAGAGCGATTGTTGTCATGCAAACTGCATTTGAGAGCAGAGTATTGGAGTTACAAAAGGAAAAATAACTTTCTGTCGATCGATTACTATATATATATATATATATAGATATATATATATATATAATATATATATATATATATATATATATAATATATATATATATATATATATATATATATAATATAGGGGAAGAGAGTGGTAATGAAATTTCAAGTGGCCCCTGAACGCATCAGCCGAACGTTAACTCAGGTAGTCGCATCAAATATCAGCGTCTCTTATAAGCTGAAACACGACAGCGTCGGCCCGGTTCCAGATGTAACTTTTGTCTTGAATACTAGAATAAAAACACGGACTCAGAGTCACGGTGAGTTGTTGTGAACGTGTTCAAGCCTTTCGGCCAATCGGTGGCCGGTGCAGCATCTCCTCCCAGCTCGACGGCAGCAGCATGGCCGCCGCCTTGTAGCCCTGCGGCGTCAGGAGAGCCACTGTCCCGCCGGGGGATTAAAGATTTACTCCTCGAAACATGTCGGCCGTGTTCTTCCTGAAAAAGACTCTGAGCAGACTCCCACCAGGGAGGCTGTTCTCCTGCCACTACCACACCGAGAGAGGAGTTTACGGGTACCGACCGAAGCAGCTCGCCGGGGACCGGTCACTGAGGACCGCGTCGCTGCTCCGAACCAGGGTCGGTACGGGCGAAAGTACAACACGGAGAGCTGATGACGATGTGGAGGGGATAAACGGAGGCTACAGTAATACGTCACCCAAATGATTTGCCTTTGGGTGATGTATTAATCTGAGCATCACCCGCTGGAGCTAACTAAATGTGCTAGCTGCACCTGTGTTTATCAGGAAGAGTCGAGTTTCTTCTTCAGAGCAGAGGCGACACCAAGGGGGGCTGAGGGGGGCACCATGACCATCTTCACTAGACTTTAGAGTCATTTCATTTTTATTCCCCACAAATTCAGTTCAAATGTAAAACCTGTGTAGGTTCATTAGGCACAGACTGATGGGAGAAGAAAAATAGTCGTATTAAACCAAGTATGAGCGTAACATAAACACTTCTATTAAAACAGGTTTTTAGTGCAATTTGACTTTCAGGGAAAATTAATTTTGATTCATTCATGAATTCAAACTTCATTGTGGTTGTCAAATTCAGCAGAAATAAATGCTTTAAAATAAGTATTTAAAGCATTTACAGTATTTAAATGCTTTAAATACTATAAGCTTTTTAACTGAATAACTGAAAAGCTTTTTGAGAAGCATGCTTATGTGTCATATTTTTCTGCAATTATGTTGAGATCAAATTACATTTATTTGTTCATGCTAGGTTCAGTATTTATTTCTAACCATAGCAACATACTTTATGAACATCATTATATTCTGGCATATCCTCCACCCTGCCCAAACCGTTCTGGCTTCACCCTCATGTTTTTTGTCCTTTGCTCAGATCACGGTCTCGCCCGCCTGGTGGAGGCATACAGAACACATGGACACAAGGCTGCTAAAATTAACCCCCTACTTCCTCAGCAGCCCGTTGTGGACCATGTTCCAGAGATAGACATGCTGGCCGGTGCCGTCACAGGAACGCGCAACACCTCAGGTAAGTTTCAGAGAGATATACAGAAGTCAGGGTCGTGTCGGACACACATTCAGGAAAGTGATATTTCAGGCTCTGTAGCTGTTTGTGTCTTGCTTCACTTCTGAAAATCAAATGTTGGACTTCATGGAAATGTTGAGGAAGAACCGGCGGTTGAATGACAGCGTGTGTCTTCACCGCCTGCATGGACAATAATTTACTGTATTTACGATCAGCCAGGAGTTTCAGGTAGGATTTGATGTCACACATTCCTGGTGTCTTTAGTGCCACATTTCTATTTTCCCTCTTTTTCTGTCTACTTTTTAGATTAAGGAAGTTTCAGTGTTATCTAAGTTCTTGTGTTGACAAGGATGAGCAACCAATCACAAAAGATTGAATCCCTGCACCTTAGGAAAGGATTAACTCACCAACCCGTTCCAGAAAGTACCAGCCCGGACTTGCTTCACTTTATTTCTACTGCTAGATGTAGATAAGTAACTATTTAAAAAACGTTTAACAAAACATAATTTCTGATTTATTTCTATAGGTCAGGATATAGAAATAAATTAAAAATGAATGGAAATTAATGCAAAGTCCTTGTGAAGATAGAAAGACACACCTGTGTGGTTGTGATGAAGGATTTCAGGAACTATTTGTTGGTTCTTAAGTGCAACCAAATAACTTGTGTAAACCTGTTGCAGAGTGAAGCGAACTGATCCAGGCTTAATTTACAAAGTCATCAAAGATAGTTTGAAATACCTGTTTAGTGAAGTAATAATAGATTTTTTAACATATATATATATATATTCAAGTAAATGAAGTGAATATTTCCTGAAACTTAATTTATCTTAAAATAAACATGATAATATAACACTGGTTGTTTTCTCTTGAATTGTATTTAGTTTTGAGAGCGATGTCTTCATATTTAAATATTAAATAAAAAATGTTCTCCCAAAACATTTTGCACCACTAAGCCCAAAGTTCCAACTTACTAAAACCAATTGAAAAGCTGTTTAAAGCTTTTCAATCTTTAAGGTTTTATTAACCTTTTCTCTAATTATGCGCAGACCCAGCCTTCAGGTAAACGGTGTGTGTTCTTCCTCGCTAAGGCCTGCGTCACTTTGGGAAGGCTCAGGCCTCGGCGGAGGAGGTCCAGAGCTACCTGGAGCAGGTCTACT